CACACACACACACACACACACACACACACACAAACGATCTATGTATAGAGCAGGAAGAAAAAAGAAAAAAACGAAAACAGATCACCCTCTCTCTCTCTCTCAATGTATGGAGGGGGAAGAAAAAAAAAAGAAACTCTCTCTCTCGCTCAATGTATGGAGGGGGAAGAAAAGAAAAAGAAAGCAAACATATCTCTCTCTCTGTCTCTCTCCCTCCAAGGAATCGTCTTTGCCGCGCGGAGAGAAGATAGCGGGCGGGGCGGGTGGAGGCAGAGCAGAGGTGGGCGGAGGTAGAGGACGGTAGGAGTTGGACGGGGGTTGGGCCGCCAGCCGAGGGGAGGTGGGCAGAGGAGAAGTGGCTGAGGCAGACAGGAGATGGCGGGAGGAGGCAGAGAGGAGAGCGGGTGAAGGCCGACTGGTGGGTGGAGGCATAGGGCAGAGGCCGAGGGGAGGTGGACAGAGGTACCGGGCGGGGGCCTTGCGGAGGTGGGTGGAGGTAGCGGGCGGAGGAGGTGGGAAGAGGCGGACAGGTGGTCAGCGGAGGCCGAGGGGAGGTTGGCGCGCACAGCGGGATGTTGGGAGGAGGCGGACGCGAGGTGGGCGAAGGGCAAGGGGAGATGGGAGATCCCAATGGCGGAAGGGAGGGTTGGCGCGCACAGCGGGATGTGCAGCGGGATGGCGGGAGGAGGCGAACGCGAGGTGGGGAGGTGGGCAGAGGCGGACAGGAGGTCAGTGGAGGTCGAGGGGAGGTTGGCGCGCACAGCGGGATGTTGGGAGGAGGCGGACGCGAGGTGGGCGAAGGGCAAAGGGAGATGGGAGATCCCAATAGCGGAAGGGAGGGTTGGCGCGCACAGCGGGATGCGCAGCGGGATGGCGGGAGGAGGCGGATGCGAGGTGGGGGGAAGGCAAGGGGAGATGAGAGATCCCAATGGTGGAAGGGAGGTGGGCGGAGGCTGACAGGCGGTCGTCAGAGGCAGTCAGGAGGTCGTCGGAGGCCAAGGGGAGGTGGGTGTGCACTGTTAAAAAAGAGAAAAAAAAGAAACAAGGGGCGGGCAATGGGATGTCCAGCGGGATGGCGGATGTGCGGGCAGAGGAACGGATCCCGGAGCGGAGGTGAGCGGAGGCAGAGGAGAAGTGGCAAAGGCCGAGCGGAAAGAGAGAGAGGACATGGGCAGAGGATGCGGATGGGAGGTGTGCAAAGGCGAACAGAAGGTCCACGCTGGCCGAGGGAGGTGGGCACACACCATTTTTTTTTGTTTTTGTTTTGAAGGGCAGGCAGAGGGATGGCGGATGTGTGGGCAGCGGAAAGAAAGCGGAGAGGAGATGGCAGATGTGTGGGCAGCGGAAAGAAAGCGGAGAGGAGATGGCGGGAGGCGTACGAGAGGCGTACGGGAGGTGCCAGAGATGGAGAGGAGATGGCTGGAGGAGGCGGACGGGAAGTGGCGAAGGTGGAGAGGACATGGCGGGAGGAGGCGGGCGGGAGGAGGCGGACGGGAGGTGGCAGAGGCGGAGAGGAGATGGTGGAAAGAGATAACCGGAGGAGGCGGACGGGAGGTCGCAACGACGGAGGAGAGGAGATGGCGGGGGGAGGCCGACGGAGGTGGGCGAAGAAGGAGGGGAGGTGGTCCCATGTGGGCAAGGGTGGGCGGAGGCCGAGGCCAAGGCCACGATCTCTCTCTCTCTCTCTCTCACACACACACACACACACACACACACACACACACACACACACACACACACACACACACACACACACACACACACACA